GTTTTAATCAGAAATTTATGGACTACAATTACGCCTCATTAAGAAAGCTTTTAGTTGTTGTTTAGAGTTTCTCGAAAACTGCTTTTGCAGAAGACCGGTCTTTGAAGGCGTAGCAGCAACATTCATAGTGATATTCGGAATCAGCATCGTCGACTACCTATAGTCCACTCGGTTTCGTTGAAAAAGCGATTTATCAGTTGGGGTACCTCCCTCGTTAGTTACTGCTCCTTCGAAAACTACAAAACATCAAAAAGACGTACATGAGCCGCGGTATGGTACTTTTCTTCAGCAATTTTTTCAGAACTTGGTCTTAGAAAAATTATCCTTTTTATGTAAATCGATGCAGAATTTAAAGCTGTACAATATGCTCTTCTTATAAGGGCTGATCTCTTTTCTAACCGAATGACAAAGTTGAAATGTTTTCATCGGGATGAAAGTGCGCCAAAAATAGACAATTACGTGTATTTTGTAGGCGGTTTTTAACATAGTAAAACTCAATCCAAAAATTATGGTTTTGTGCCCTAAAAACAATACGTTTTCATAGTGTGTTGGAATAGCGTATAGAAAATTATTTAGCAAGTAAAACTGAGATTTTTTTCTAGTCAGATGCTGAGTAAATGATGTTTCTGTAGTAATCAATACTTTTAATGCTACAAAAGAACCGTACATGCTTATTTAAAAAAGAACATATCAATAAAATCTATAGAAAATTTTCTATCTTTTGGAATCAGAAGTAAAGTTTCTGATCGAGTCTAATTTAAGAAAAACGTCTATCAGAAACCAGCAATTTAATCTGGATCACCCGTTAGTTGATTAAATTTTTAAACATTTGTGTCTTTTCTAGATTTAAGTTGTTGTGAAAATTTTCTATTTTATCTGCACTAACGTGTGCAATTATTGACGTGCTGTTATCAAAATAACATCATAATGGTATTCGAACATTTAGCCGTCTATGTACTCGATAAATATTTGGGAGATTATATTGAGAATTTAGATTCAAAAAAGCTCAAAATTGACTTATGGCATGGTAAGATTATAATTCTTAGTTATAGAATCCATTGCTGATGTTTATTTCTTTTTAAGGTGATGTTGTTCTCGAAAATTTGTATTTAAAATCAAACGCATTCGTAAGTCTCTATAAATCAGATTGACATTCAAAATGATGATTTTTATGATATTAGGCTAATTTCAATCTACCGGTTACGGTTGCTACTGGTTACCTTAGTATGTTTTTACTTTTTCTCAAATTGTATTTATTCGAAAAATTTGAATGAAATATTTAGAAAAATTATCAATTCACATTCCATGGAAACATCTGTATACACATGCGATTACGGTCACCATCGATGGATTCTATCTACTTCTCACACCTAATACCGGTTTGCTATTATTTGACACATGATTTTTCTTTATCAATTTGATCGCTATATATTTGTGTAGATGTCCACTATGATCCCGAACGAGATGAACAAAAACAACACGACGACAAAATGAAAGAAGTACACAAAGTCGAACAATTTCGTAAAGAAAGAGAAGAATATGGTGAGATAAAAATCTATTAGAGATGTGTCGAATCAGTTTTTTGAGAGTCTTACGTGACGGAGATGAATCAGAAAAAAAAATTGTCCCATAAAAATACTCGTTTTGTGAATTCTGACTTTTTGGATTTTGAATCGGTTTAAAGTTTCAAAATTCAAGCAATTTTTTTTATTTGTCACTCTCGTAATGCGGTCAATGTTATCCATGTAGAGCAACTCTATTGCGTGTTTCACATTTTAAGGGGATTTTTTTTCTTTTCCCAGACTTGAAATAAAAATTTTTCAATTTCGGGTTTTCATCGTTAATAAAGTCCCCGACGTCTCCTCTTTCGAATGCCATATAAATGAGAGGTCTCGATTATTAATTAGTATTTTTATACATTGACGTTTCAAAATCCCGAGTGGAAAAACTAGAAGAAGAAAATACTGTTCCGTTACCAATTACCTGAGAACGGTAGCGGGTCCGTTATTCGGTAACTACTAACAGAAAATTCTATGAATCGGTTTATTTTCGTCGAGAAAGTAAGATTACAGGAAAGAAATAATTTTTAAAAGTCTTAAAATCCATAAAAGGTTCTCGAGATCGAGGAATCCGAATTTGACTGTAACTTTTCAAAATTTTGACGTCAACTTTGTGGGTCCCAGAGGGATTAAAAAAGGATTTTTTTTTCTATTCATCTAGGACCGGGAAAATTGACGTCAAAATTTTGAAAAATTACATTCAAATTCGAATTCCTTGACCTTGAAAATCTTTTTGTTAATTTGTCCTCTAAAATATTATCGCTCTTTCGAAACATTATTTCCTGGACGAAGCATAGTGTCACAATTTTGACTAACGAGGGAACATTCCCAGGTGCTACGCTCTGATTTTGCTCGTTCATACATCATTCGATAGGGGGTCTCGAGTAGGTAAAAAGCCTAGAAGGATATCGGCCGATGACTCTTTAAGATCTGGTTTTCTGGAAAACCAGTTTTTAGAAACCCTAACAGAATAACCAAAACCTTTGTTAATGAGACACGATTGTAGCCCGCGAAGTTCTCATCAAAATGAGACATCTCCCAGCTCTACATGACCTTTCTTTGCAAAGTTATAGAATTTACAAGAAAAGCTCTAAATGTTCATTGTCAGCTCAAAGNCAAAGCTGCAGAAATCCGAACAAATTAATTTAGCGCTTTTCTTGCAAATTCTATAACTTTGCAAAGAAAGGTCGTGTAGAGCTGAGAGATGTCTCATTTTGATGCGAATTTCGCGGGCTACACTCATGTCTCATTAATAAAGGTTTTGATTATTCTGTTAGGGTTTGGTTTTCCAGAAAACCGGGTCTTAAAGAGTCATCGGCCGATATCCTTCTAGGCTTTTTACCTACTCGAGACCCCCTATCGAATGATGTATGAACGAGCGAAATCAGAGCGTAGCACCTCGGAATGTTCCCTCGCAAGGATTTTGATATTTGCTATAGAAGCACTCAGAAAGTCTATAAACACTTTTTTTTATAGGTTTTCAGATATGCTCTTTCCAATGGTGTGTTTTACGAAGTTCAAAGAGGCTTTCATCTGGGTTTTCGAGAGATCCGAGGAATCTGGTTACCTTATTTTTGCGTTTAATTCAGTTTTCCTACACTGCCTCTTTTTTTAGCATAATTTTTGTCTATATAATTTTCCCAACAGAAGTATACCCTAAGAAAAAAATTCTTTTGGTCATCGAATAGCGCGTGGTCCAAAGTATATAAATTTCAATTCTTTATTCACTATGTGAATCACCGAAAAGGGCACTTTCAATTTTTATCAAAAGATAACCGAACTCATCTAATTTCCGTTACCAGTTACCTAGTAACATAACTGGACATCCCTAACATCGCTGAACACGGCCAGTTTTTGATTCCGTCGGTTGGGGAAAACAAATTCTATTACAAACAGAAATAATTTGTCTTTCGTTTTTCTTGAGGAAAAATTGAGGTTTTCATCCTTTTTTTCCCGCATGGTATAACCGACTGAGATGAAAGTTTTCCTGCGATAAATTTGACCTAAGTGAGGGTGTCTATTTTTTTTTCGTTTGAAAAAATATTGTGTTATTCAGTTTTAGCAGTCACCAAAATTAGTACAGAGAAAAGAAAATCACGTTTTTTGGTCAGACTTCCAGTTCTTTTTGGGGTCGTCTAAGCGAAGGACAACGTATTCTTTGACGAGAAAATAAAACATAGACATCCCAGTTTACCTCTAGTTATCGTAAGAAAGAAACTCCGGACACAAGGGTTCACTCAATTCGGTAAGCATTCGACACTTATACCCTTGACATTTTTCCGAATTTTGCAAAATTAGTCATTGTTTTACGGGACCACCCGTCCGAGCTGGGATTTTTCGGCAAAAAAAAACTAATTTTTGAGTCCCAGACCAAAAAATATGAATTTTACTCTTTCACTTTTTTTCTTTAATGAATTTTTTTTTTGCAGAAAATCCTAAATCGGCTCTGAAGCGTCAAGATACATTTATGGAACGACTAAAATTACATATTCTTCGTAATCTGGAATTGTCAATTAGCAGTATTCACATTGCCTATGAAGATCATACAACAAAACCTGATCATCCATTTTCAATTGGTATTACACTCAATTACGTCGAATTTCAAGTATGGATTTGGTTCATGAATGTGTTGTTTTTTTTTGGAAAAAAAATCGAATGTCATTTATTTTTCTTTTCAAAATAGACCACGAATTCTGAATGGGAACAAATGGTATCGAAAGAAGAAGCGCCGGTCATGTACAAAGTAAGCTATTCCCATGTCATCAAAATCATCTCACTTTTGCCAATTAATCGCGATTTTTCTGTTGGGTTTCCTTAGTGACAAGTGAAAAAAAGCGGCAATTAATTGTGCGATTTATCGCAATTAATTACCAATTTTTTTGGCTTGTCACTATGGAAACCCAGCAGAAAAATCGCGATTAATCGGCGAATTTAGACGATTTTAATGACATGAGTTACTATCGGAATAAACAATTCCATTTGGTTTTATCTTGCTAGTTCGGTGACTTGAATACTTTGTCGATTTATTGGAATTCGAATGTCAAATGTCAATCCGAAACATCACAACAGAGCATAGTCGTACGTTTAATTCAGATCTATTTTTGTTTGATACTTTTTTTGTAATTCTATGATAAATATATAGGAAAAACTAGAAAAAAGTATTGTCAAGAATGAACAGACAGCATCATCAGATCATATGACTTACAGTAAGTATTTTGTTTTGTTTTCGTATTGTCGACATTGAATATCAACTTGTTTCTTAGTTCTTCAACCACTTAATATGCAAGCAAGGTTGAAAATTGCTAAGACACCTCATGAACAAGATTATGTACAACCGGTATTCGATGCAAAAATCGATTTGGAACAAATTAGTATTAATCTCAATCGAAATCAGGTTTGAAGAAGAAGAAGAATGAAAACTTCTATCATAATTATATTTGAATATTTATTTTTGTCAGTATTCGGATCTACTCGATCTACTCGAATTTCAAGATAATCTCAATTTGAAATCGAAATATATTAAATATTATGAAATGATCGACAACGATGCTGCGGAGATAAAGCCAAGTTTGCGACGGTAAGAAATGGGGAAAAGTGAAAAATTTGACAGATTATTTTTTTTTTTTTTTCTTTTTACAGATGGAAATTTGCCTATGTTGCTATTTTGAATGAAGAAGTTCGACCACGTCTTGCATCGTATAAATGGGAAACAATCAAAACAAGTTTGGATCGATTTCGCGAGTATCATGACCTTTATTTCAAGGATTTAACGGGCGATTTGAGCAAAAAACAACGACAACATGCTGAAGTAATATACACAATCTAGCTATTTCAATTTTTATCGATGTTTATATTTAAGGAACTCGAGAAAAAGATTGATGTACTCAGTTTGATCTATATTCGTCGAACAGCAGAAATCGAAGTAGGAAATTTTTTTTACTGTTGTTTTATGTTTGAATGAATTTCTTGACTATATTTCTATAGATTAAAAAGAAGAAAGCCGAACAAAAAGAAAAATCTTGGTGGGACAAATTGACTAATTGGTGGAATGATGAACCGAACAAAGAGAGTTCAGGTAAATTTAATTAGTTCTAACCGATGGATCATAAAGAACGGCTCAAGCTTTTATCTTCACCTTTTGAGCAACATAGAAACAGTTCAAAAATTTCGTTCTAAGCTCATTTGATAGAGAATTTTTCACTCGATAAAATTGGCGATTTTGTTGTTAAGCTGAACAGTGAAAATGTCTAGATTATTTCCCAGTAGAAACAGAACAATGAGATAAGTGTGTCGGAAAAGAGACTTTTCGATGCTTTCACAGTTTTGTACTTCAACAAAATTTCTTCCGAATATATGTTCTGTTCTGAAGCATAAATCAAACGATGCAGAATTTTATGGAGAATTTTCTAGTATAATTGAAACCCCGACACAACCGTTAGTGAAAAACATTTTTATTCCAATTTTTCATCTTTTGAGTGTCTCAGTTGAACGATTCAGTATGTGTTTATTTCCTTAAGGGGCCCCCTCAGAAATTATAATTTTCTAACAAAAAACTGGTGTTGAAATAAGCAGATGAAAAGGTAGCCTGAAGTGTCTACTTTCAGAATCTGTATCGCTTTTAGTTACAGAATTGAGTTTTCGGGAATTTTGAGCAAGTTTTCTAGGAGCCTCAAAAAACCGGACTTTCAAATAATAGCTTTTTCCTGGACACTTGTGCAATTAAAATTTTTCTGAACACAGCTTTGTAGAGCAAACGTTTCTGATCAAACAGGACCTCGCATAACTCTATATGATCTTGCATCAAAAAGCTACAGGCATTTTATTTTCCTACAAGTCCTAAAACTGAGTATTTTATAGAGCGTTTAATACAACGTTTTCATTATATAAGAGTTACATCTCGAAGAGAGTTTATTCATCCCAAGCAGTTAGGTGTATGGTTTAAAATACAACAAACCCGAACTCTCCAGCTTGAAGTATATTAAAAAATCTGGGAAAGACTTTAGGGCCCTTTTTGGATCTTGATCTCTAGAAATTTTTTTTTCTCCTAAGCGGTAAGACCTGGAGACAAAAAAATCTTTTCATTCCCGTGACTCATTGAATCTGACGCTTACAGAAAGCTTCGTCAAGATCGGATGTACGGTATCAGAGATAATTTCTGAGGGGAGCCCTTTAAATTTTGCGCTGATAAGAAAAACTGATTTTGAAATACGAAATCGCCAGTTTTCTAGAGTGAAAAATTCTCTATCGAATGAGCTTAGAACGAAATGTTTGAACTGTTTCCATGTTGGTCAAAAGGTGAAGATGAGATCGGTCCGTTCTTTATGTTCGCCCGTTATATTCCGTTGTTGTTTCAAAATAACCAACATTTTCCGTTTCATAGAATTCAATCTTGACAATGCAATGACAGCTGATGAAAAGAAAAAATTGTACAATGCTATTGGTTATACTGATGATGAGACATCAGCAGCTTATGCGGAACAAGTAAATATGTCTTTGTTCCATAGTCATATTGTGAAAGGATTTATGTTTCGATTTTAGTATGTTGATATTAGTCTATCAGTTCAACTGAATATGCTTGAAGTTAATGTCTGGTCGAATATCAAAGACAACGATTCACGGTAAATCATGCCTTTTAATCACACACTAAAACTCTTTCTTATCGGAATATCGGAGAGGATATTCAAAAAAAGTATCACTTTACAAAAAAGGAGTTTTTGTCGTCCTAACAAGTGTTCCTACGTTTTGTTCAGCTCATTATTTCCTCGGGATTGAGAATAGAATTTTTGAGCATTTCAATCACTGAGATCGTTTGGACATGATCACTCGTGATCGCTTCTGAGTCGATCAATGGTAACACTGAGCAAATGCTTTGGCTCATTTGTTTCGTTTTTTACCAGATAGAAATTCTGAATCGATCATGAAAGACGAATTCCTTTCGATTGGATTCTCTGTATAAAAGAAAAGACATAGACTATTCGAATCAGAGCACAGAGAAAAGGTCTTCACACAAGACAGATCGTTCTAACGTCCGAGGACAAAAGCATGTCAGCGCAGTTCCGATCGAGTTATAATGTAGAACTCACATCTGATTGCCACAGTAACAAATAAGAAAGATTTCAGCCGACCTCCTACACAATTAAAATGGAGACAAGATGGAGCCGTATTACATGGACATGAATATGCTTGTAATTTTTACCACTATCCGTACGGGAGTTTTAAGCAGCATTATCTTCAAATGTCGGTGACCGTCTATATAAATAGGACCTATATACTGATCGCACCACGAGAGACAAAAAAAAATTTTTGACTTCGAGATTTCAAATCGAATATAAAATTTAAAAACCATAATACCAAGGTCTAAAATCCGAAATTCTATGATATGATTCTATCCATGATATCATAGTCCGTAAAACCATAACCGTAGAGTTCGAAAATTCTGAATGAAATCTTTTTTTTCTATCATATAATACGATAGAATAATAATGGTTAGAAAATCCAGTTTCAAGCAGCACGGTCTGCCATGGAGGATGTCTGCCCAGTCAATCACCTATTTGTTTTAAAAATTCGTTTTAACGCGGTTTTGACATTTATAGAGCGCGAGAATATTCAGCTTCACCATGAATACGACGAATTTCTTGAGCTTAAAATATACGCCTCAATCAAAACCACGTTTTTATCATCAGTTATTCGCGAGAAACGCGTTTATGATCATTATAACTTTTTAAAAACGCGTTTTCAATCGCAACAGACTGTAACATTCACGATCGCCACCAAATTTTTCGCGTTTCTGACTCAATTGAAACGAATTTAACGCGTTTCACTTTTTCAAAATTTATAAGATAGTTTCTTTGACCCGTAAAACTCGTTTCATAGACTGAAGTCGCGAAATTGGGCATTTCTGTAAAAAATAATGAGTGAAAAACGCGTTTTTAACGCAATACAACGCACCAAACACAAGATCGGCTCAAGAACCGCGAAAAAACGAATTTTCTAAAAAAGGTGCGAAAAAACGCGAGTTTAACTTCAAAGTATCGCGCGAAACTATGTGTACGAAAAATTTAGCGCGTTTAACGCAACCTAGGGTTACTTCAAACGCGATTCTGGCGCATTTTTTTAAACGAATTTCTCGTGGTAAATTTTTTGTAAAGAGACTTTCGCGCGATATTTTGAAGTTAAAACCGCATTAAAGCGAATTTTCAAAACATATAGGTGACTGACTAGATGTAAGGGGGAGCACCCGAGCTCACATTCAAACTTACACTCACTATTTTTGTGTAACACAATTAAAAATGAGTGTTGACGTTTAGAGCGAGCAAGGTAAGCCCCCCCACATGCCTCACAGACCGTGACAGACATGTGTACATGCCATCATGGTTTTTCAGACCATGTAGTTTTCGATTTTTGGACACCGGAACTCTTGTTTTCTAGATTTTGAATCGATTTCAAATTTCGAAATTCAAAAAAACTAGTTTTCTCTCCTAATACGGTATGTTAGCCACTACTAAAAACGGTCGCAATGACTGGGAAAAGATTACCCTCTGACTCTCTGATGAATTGAGAAGAGTCTAACAAGTATCTTCATATTCATGTAAAACAGCTCGATCGTGTTTCACATTTTAATCCCACAGGGCACAAGGCGCATTTTTCCATAGGTCAGGCGGACGTTTGCTATAGAAGCACTCAGAAAGTCTATAAACACTCTTTTTATAGGTTTTCAGATATGCTCTTTCCAATGGTGTGTTTTACGAAGTTCAAAGAGGCTTTCATCTTGGTTTTCTAGAGACCTGACCTCTGGAGAACCTACACATAAGTATTCTGGAAATTTGTAAAGCGCATCATTGGAAAGAGCATATCTGAAAACCTATAAAAAGAGTGTTTATAGACTTTCTGAGTGCTTCTGTAGCAAATATCAAAATCCTTGGCCAAAATTGTGACTCTATGCTTCGAGTTTAGCGTTTCGTTAGATCCAAGAAACTTTTACTGAGAAAAACTTACTAATCGCACATCATTCAGTGGCAGTTTCTTGCGTTGATTCTGAATATGTCATTTTTCTTGAATAAAAACACTTCTGGGGCGAGAAAAATGGAAAATACCTTGAAAAGCTAGTGGTTTTTGGAAAAGCTACAACTCAGGACAGAAAACTTTTCACTAACTGTTTGCACGCGTCCTATATAGCTCAACATGTCCTGAAACTTTCATCTAAATTGAAGTTTCGCTTTTCTTTGGGCATGTACTTTACTGAATGCACCTCTTTGGAAACTCGCTAATAAAGTGTACAAGAACTCCTTCCCATCTTGAGAACGCCTAAACTAGAAATTCTTTTTAGCGATCGACAGAGGACTTGACAAAGATTAAGAATATATATATTTGTTTGTTTGACCGCTTACCTTACTTTTGCGTTTAATTCAGTTTTCCTACAGTGCCTCTTTTAGTGTAATTTTTGTCTATATGATTTCCCCAACGTAAGTATGCCCTAAGAAAAAATTTTTTCGTCAAAAAATGTAAACTGTAAACTGAAAAGTTGGCCAGATTTTTCGAGAAATTTCATGAATATAAAAATATAATTTTAATGAATTTTTTTCCTACCGTTAAGAAAATTTTTCTTACACACGATTACTTTTGAAATAAAAGAAACAACTACGATGTCAAAGTAAATATTTTGAGAAAAACGCTTTTATTTTTAACCATTATGAATACTCAAATTTTTGTTTAAAACAGAATTGTTTTTAGAAAAAATCTATGAAACATGACACATGGCCTAGGCTATCACATTATATTGAATTTTTCTGAAACTAGAGCGAAAAAATACAGCTTTCCAAGATCCTTATCTCAGTTTTCTGTTTTAGTTCTCAAATATTTGACACATCGTATCGAAAGAGATCCGTTAAATTTTTGTACATTTTTCGATCCGGGAATCCTCATTTGTATCATTCCTCCGCTCCGTATTTCACTATAATAGCCATTGCATTCTTTTGGTAGAGAATTCACTTTAAAAAAAACTTCTCCGATTAGCGGTACGAAAGAGAAAAAATACTGAGAGTGTCATTCGATACATGTACGAATTATAGGAATTAACTTCTTGTGGACGGCTTGTCCACATAACGGGATACTTCGCTGATCAAGCTTTCTTTGAATTTTTTTCATCGAAAATCGATAGGGGCACATCACTAGACGCAGCTTTTCATGCTAATCACGAATCTGACTTTTTTTTGAAGAAAGAATTAGTTTTCAATATAAAAACTTTAATTTCAATTTTCTGACCTAGACATTTTGTTCAAAACATTTTAAAAACATACTACTGAATAGAGAATTCAATTCTCTACAAAATGCCTCATTTAAGTTTGAGATCTATTTTTCAGTCAAGACACAGTGGCTGTTTGAACTCTTCAACATCCGCCTTAGTCTCAAAGCCTCAGAGAAGTTTTCGAACTTTATTTTCAACGGGAGTCTTTCAGAAAACGTAGAACTACACAGACTATAAGTATGAAGTGTTATGAACAACGCTTAGTGCCTAAATGTGGTGTGATAAAAAAGTATGTCACGGCGTTACGTTTGTTTTTTGTATTTTATACCCGAGCAAAAATAGTTGGAAGAAAATTTTTTTTACCGTTGAATAACTCGTTCGATGTTCTACAAAACGGGCTCTTGAAATTTTCCAGCTGGATAGATACTTTTGCAGGAAATTAGAGCTTTATCACCAGTTCCCAAAATTTAGGGCCCTTTTATGTCACGCCGTTACGCACTGAAGAAGCCTTTCTGAAATCTCGAAACTTGAACAGAAAAACTTCATTTTTACACCATAAGTAGAGTAAAGCGAGCTGCGTTAAATGGCACTAAAATGAGTTTTCTAGCTCTTATAGTTTTTGAGATAATTAAAGATAAGTGTGTCCAAAATGTCACGAAGATACGTTTGGACAAGCCGTGGAGGAGAAATTTCGTAGTTTTATAAATTTTTCTTCCGTGAGGCGATTTTGAAAACCTGAACCGTGTTGTTATACGAAGGTGCTCATATAAGGAGATATTCACATAAAGAGATTTTCTTCTCTTTCGTTTCATTTTTAGGTTTCAAATTATTGCTTGTGCCGCTGTACCCAATGTTGGTTTGATATTCCAACGGCGTCCGGCGAAATCGGCTTTTCTGTAAGTTATTGATCATTTCACGCATTTTTTCTTTTCTAATTACGTTTGATTTCATCAGAGTTGCAATCGATTTGGATTCATTTCAACTATGTGGTATTGCTACAGCTGCAATCGAAACCGGAATATCGAATATCAATCGTCCCATTCTTGCTCAACCGGCAAATCGAATTCAATTAGAAAAAAAAAATCTCTTACATATTGAATATGAAACTAATCCATTCGATCGACCATCAGACAATCGTATACAAGTCATAGCACAATCGCTTGAGATTACTTATGATGCGGTACTAATCATAGACTAAAAGGAAAAATCTTTTTTATTGCATTTTACCACTGTTTTTTTTTCGTATCTCAATTAGTTCACTATCAACAAACTTGTCGAATGTTTTCAACCTGATAGAAAACGTGATTTACAAGGGTAAGAAAAAAGCTAATCAACCGATTAACTTCTTATTCATATTTGAATTTTGTCTTTTCAGCATAAAAGAAATAGCTTATTCGACATTGAATGATATGAAATATCGTACACATTTTCTGTTCAATCATTATTTAAAAAATATTCAAGCATCTGACATTGATATCGATCTTAAATCATCCTATTTTCTCTTGCCTGAAAATGGTGTCTATCGACGGTAGGGAGTAAAAAAAGAAACAAATTATCGAAATTGGAAATTAATAATCGTTATTTTGTCTTTTGTAGTGGTTGTCCAGTACTTTGTTTGGATTTTGGTCATTTTGCATTTAAAGGTGGTCCTAGTTATAGTGACAAAGAAGCAGGAATAGGCAAAACATCCGAGAATATTTCCGTATGATAACAATTACACTTATTCATATAATCATATCTGATTCTCTTTTAGAACATTACTGATACTCGCGAATCACCATACTTTCCATTAAAACTCAGATTAGAACACATACAATTACTCTGTGCTAATCAGAGTAAAAATTTCTATTATGTTACTTTAGTTCATCATATTAACCATCGACTTTTGTTTTAGACGATGATTGGTATAGTGCACGTATTGAACAAGATTCTCCGCTGCATTTGATCAAACCGATTACAGTCAATGTGAATATCCACAAATGTATTTACACCGATAATCCTGTATTACCAGCGTACGTATTCTCAGTCTTAATATATGTATTAGTTCAGGTGTATCAATTGAACTCATTTGCTTGAAAATCAGAGTAGATATCTTCCAGTTTAGTATATATGAGCAAAATTTCAGGTTAAAACTTGAAAATTGCAATTCGACCGAGAGGAAATTTGCAGGATCCAGTTTCAACGATTTTCTATTTTTTTCTCCACTTATTCTAAATTAAAATTCACCTTTCTTCTCTTGGAACTTTGACTAAAGATTCATTGGAGCACTCAAAACTCATGGTGTGACTGGAGAGGAGCTCAGCTCTCCTAGAAGGTTCTGAGCCACCTTACAGACGGTTGAGTCTCGCTTAAAAAGTGTCTTGAGTCTCCACTCAGAGGCTGGGACCCTCCTAAAACTTTTTTTTCTGGTTACACCACTAGTCAAACCCAGAGCTGGAACCGGATGAGAAACGGCAAACTGGTCCAGTCCGGACGGTCTGAAAGTGTAACCGAATCGGTCCGGCCGGTAAACTGACTGGTTGAAATTATAACTCAAACCGGTGAAAAACTGGTAAAATATCGTCAAAAAATTGACGAAGTTTTTTGAAAATCGATTTTCAAAAACAATTTCACCCAGAAATGAAATAGTTTGCGAGTACATGTGCGAGATACTTCACAATAACGAGTCTGTATAAAACAATTAATGAAAACAATATCTATCTTGAGCATCGTCTTATTTATTCTGACTGAAAAAGACGTGAAATTTTAGTTTTTTGACGAACAACAAGGAAAAAAGAGCAGATATTTCAAAAGTTTCAGCTAGTGAAATACCGATCTCTATCGGCCCGGTTCCAGCTCTGGTCATACCTCAACAATAGTACGAACTCTTTGGAGATTGTTCTAGTTTAATAATCCCCTACTACTGAACAAAATATGAAATGAAACATTTTTAATCATATCTGGAATCGTCCACGTAAGTATTTTAGTCAAATTTGATAGAATTGAATAGTCTTTATCAGACAAACACTCACCTCATTGAGTCTAAAACAAGATAGAGATATTCAAATTTGTTTTGTTATAGTGACTTGTGTTGCACCACGTATGATCAAAACTGACCGAAAATATAATTCATGTTCTTTTGAGATGTCTACGGTTGACTGAATGAAGAAAAATACATTTCGATTTGCTCAAAATCCATAGCGGTCTTTTTTCGAATTTCCTAAACTGAGACTCATTTTTCTCCCGTGAACTCAATTCAACGGAAAATGGCAATTTAAAGGAGTCACCTTCAAGTGAATACTAGTTTTCTGCTATAATTATTTCCTACAGGCTATTTAGGTTATTTCCTACAGGCTACTAGGTTATTTCTTTTTCCAAGATATTCAAGCATAGGTGGAGAAGTATTGCTCGAGTTTCAATCTCAATCATTTTTCTCAGAAAGTCTAAAATAATATATGTTCTGATTCTGATTGTTAGTTGGAAAATCGATGCACAAGTTTCAGCAATCGATGCTCGATTATCAAATGCACGTATTTTCAATGTTACTAAACTTTATCAATCAATTCCATTTCCTGAAACGAAAGAAGAACAAATCGAAACCGAAGTACATGTGGAGGTTCGTGAAAATCTAGTTTTTTCTAAAAACATTATTTGTATCTGTCGAATTGTAATAGTCAACAGCATTCGGAGTTACTGTATCTCATAAAGATACGAAAAAAACATTGGAAGCAGTGGAAAATATGACACCAGTACAAAAGATCTTGGAAGAAGCGGCCAGTGCCGAAGAGGAAGGAAAAACGAACGATCAAACGTCGGTAGAAATCGTGAAGAAAAAAGTCAATTCACAAGATCAACTCATCGAAGTCAAAGCTACTTTTGAACTTCCACGAGTAAGTCAAAGATTTGTGATGTTGTTTATAACATTTCTAAAAAAAACAATCGTCTTCAGATTAATTTACTCATCGAAGAATCTTTAACGAATTTGTCCAATGATACTCAACCATTTGTTCGTATGTCAATTTTCTCAATAGTTGCTCGAGCGACAATTAAAACATACGATATCGATTTCGATATATCTGTTGCCGATTTGATCGTTATTCATGAACAATTTATTACTAAAACGAATGATCGACTTCGTCTCATTGCTGTTGAACATCATCGCGATCGTGTAAATGATCCATTTATTAGTATTCATGGTTTGTTAACATCATCTGTCAATCCATTACTTGCCTCAACTCCTTACAATGGAATTGAAAATCAAGTGAAAGTACATATTGGCAAACCTGTCCTACTATTACAATTGGAACCACTTCTATCCATTGTTCGATTTAAAAATGATCTTATGGATAAAATATCTAAAGAACAACAGCGTATATCGAACAAACGAATGGGAAATAAACGAGTTCCATCGAAAAAACCGACTCCGAAATATATTGTTAAGAAAGATCCACTATCAGTGATGCCAACATTTCAAATCGATGCTGATCTCGATGGATTACGTGCAATTATTGGATCAGAATTTGCTCAAATACTTGATATTCACATTCAAGATCTTCATGTACATGCATTCAATTCGATCGAAAAAACATTGGTTAATTTGATTGTGAAAGATTTTTATGCTGTCGATCCTAGTCCAACAGCACGCCATCGAAAGATTATTTCACAACAAGGTGATGATAAACAATTATTACGTGTCGATTTTTCTCTATTCAACTATTCGAACAAACACGAGAAAACACTCGATGAAGTCGATTGTGAAGTCAAAGTGCAATTGACCAAAGTGAGCATGGTCCTTCTCTACAAACATGTGGACCTCATTTTGAGCATGATCAATGTATTTCAAACGAAAAAACCTCAACAGGATGTTCCTTCGAATCAGACAAGTACCGTTTCTGATACTATAGAAAAATTTCAAAGACAAGCACGAAAACTTCGTCTGGATGTCACAATCAATGCACCGAGTATATTCGCTCCGACAAGTTCCTATTCGAGCGAAGGACTTTTTCTTGATTTGGGTCAATTAACAATTCAAACACATTTTATCGATGATCCAAATCGATTACTTGTCGAGCAACAAATAATAACTATCAATAATTTATTTGGAAGACGAGTTAAACTAAATAAGAACAATGAAATTCTCGGTGATATCGGTGTACTCGAATGTGCCGAACTTCATACATTAATTGAACGTCTCTTATATCCGGAAAAGATTCAAAATGAACCAGAAATTACAATTCAACTCAATTGGGATACTATTCAATTTATATTAGCAAAAGATGATTATGCATGTATAATGAAAATATTCAAGGATAATTTTACAGAGAAAATTCATCACAAAATACCAAAACCTGATGTTCAAGAACAACCCAAGTACAAAGAGACGAATCAAGAACAAGTTATTGTTACAAACAATAGGCAAGATAAGTCTAATGATAATAAAGTTTTAGAAAAAATTTGTTTCGATGCTCTAATCAAGAAAATTGCTTTAACATTGTATCTTGGCGAATCGAACATAAATACACAACAGGTATCACGTAATGAAAATTTGAAATTTGTTGATTTACGATTTGAAATGCTCAAAGCTCACTTTCAACAATTGTCCGATTCGAGTTACAATGCCAATGCACAAATTCAAGAACTCGTCTTGGATGATCTACGTGAAACAAATCAATCCGATAGTATTACACGTATGATCAATCGAAATTTCAATGTCGATCCGAATATACCAATATTTAATGTTAATGTCGAATTCAAACCAAAGAAAGAGGAACGTTCTATGGGTATTCGACAAGGTAGGTGAAAAATATTTGACAATTTCTGTAATGATGAATATTTATGTTATTAGTCAATGGTCAATTGGAAAGTTTTTATATTTGTATCAGTGCAGATTATTTGATGGCATTACAAGACTTTTTTGTCTCAAGCTTGTCATCAGTCGACGAGATCAAACCGCGTCCATCACTAATATATTCCGAAACATTGTCTGATATTGATCGTGACCTTCCATTGCCAGCCACACTCATGTTAGCATATCATCGATCGTCTGAAACAGACAATGAGACATCAGAATCCACGTCATCTTCTCCTCAGAGAGCGTCGAATGCTTCCTGTATGTCATATTTTCGTTTATTTTCTTATCGAAGCTAATTCATCTATTTTAGCTGCTTCCCAACAATCGTCATCCGCCGAAACTGATAGTGATCTTGAGACAATAGTTGATATCGTTATCAAGACTCCCGAAATTATTTTACTTGAAGATCAACATAATACCAATTCAAGTTGTCTTGTACTCGGCGTAAGAGAGTGGAAAGGAAACTAAATATCTTAAAAAAAAACATCATGATATTTGTTTAGTTAGCTTCACAGATACGTATGGTTATTGTGGGTGATAATACAAAAATGTCTGGCTCATTGAAAAATTTAACTATTTGTGGTTCGACTTTTGCTGAATTGAAAAATTCAAAAAATAAATATCCTGTAAGAATAAAGATGATTTCTTTTATTTTCGATTATTTTCTATTTTTCTACATATTTAAAAAGATTTTGGGACCACTCGATATCGATGCTGTTTTGATCATGAATTTGGAAGAGCAAAAAATCGATGTACGCATTGGAGATATTACTGTACAAATTCCTCCGGCAACAATTCACACGATTCGTAGTGTTACAAATTCACTAGGCAAACTTCAAGTAATGGAATTTGTATTGTTTCTTCATAAAATATAAATCTTTTTTCATTAGTCGACTGTTCAAAATGAAACGGAG